TTTCAGTACCTAAAGGGGGCCTATAGGAAAGATGGGGAAAATCTTTTTAGTAGGGCCAGCTGTGACAGGACAAGGGGTAATGGTTTTAAACTAAACCAGGGTAGGTTTAGACTAGATATAAGGAAGAAATTCTTTACAATGAGGGTGGTGAAACACTGGAACAGGTTGCCCAGAGAGGTGGTGGAGGCCCCATCCCTGGAAGCATTCAAGGCCAGGTTGGATGGGGCTCTGAGCAACCTGATCTAGTTAGTGGTGTCCCTGCTCCTGCAGGGGGGTTGGGCTAGATGACCAATAGGGGTCCCTTCCAACCCAAAACATTCTATGATTTTATGTTTAGTCTGTGTAAGAAAAATCAGGGAAAAGTTAGGGAGTGAACACTCACAGGTGGTGGCAGTACCCAGAGGAAGGGAAGGGACAGGTGCCCATCTGTCAGTGGTGGAGGGAAGCAGCCCACCAGCGGTGCTCCCCCAGGCCCGAGTTACCAAATGTTGCCCCTCAAGGGAGCTGGGAAGGCTCTCCCAGGCCCTACCCTGGGAGTAAAAAAGGAGGGTTTCTTGGGGTTCCCACCTATCCACCCACATGGCGTAAACCCAGAGAAAGTGGTAAGGTGGGTACGTACCTCAAGTACGCCTCAGCTGAGAGCCTTGGGCAGAAGGTGTTGCACAGGCAGAAGAGGCACAAGCTTGAGGTAAGAGATGACTGCCCCAGCTGCTCAGCGAGGCAGCACAACAGGGAGCTTCCCTGCCACACAGATGAGCAAGGACAGGAGAAGGGCTGGGGCAGTCTACGGCATCACCGCAAGCGCATCGCAGAACACGTGGAGCTTGGAAATACCAGAGGGGCAGGTGAAGCTGGGTATCTTCTTCAAGAGAAGAAAGTGGTGGAGAGTAAGGGGAGAGAGGTGGGAAGACAAGGGTGGGGAAGGAGAAGAGGGCACGATGTGGGGGCTCACAGCTCGTGCTGCTGCCATAGCAGATCGCATCACCTGAAAAGACGCCAAACCAAGAGCAGCGAGCGAGG